GATCACCTTGGCGAGAGTGGAAATATTTAATTATTCCCACTCACGTCACAATGGACTGACATCTCGCGAGACTCTTGTTGAGTGAGATGTCAGGTCATGTGACCAACCCCTTATACTCTATCAGTTTTGTGAAGCTGGGCGACAGATAGAAGGTAGCGGGGTTAGCGTACAACCCGTCTCGTGAGTAGCCTGGTAACTAGAGCGACGTGAACTCGGCGCGGCGAGTACCGGGCGTCAGGGTAGCTGATGGTTTGTAGACACACTGATGGTTTTCAATTTCTTGACCGGCTGCGTCATGGGAGGCCCACGCCAGTCAGCTTGCCATCGATGCCGCACGCACTGGCGGGTCAACCTTGGGAGGTACGAGTATGAGCCGCCAGGTCGAGGTACTAAGTAATAGAGGGGTGGACGAGGAAGAGGAAAAAGAGGAACAGCTAGAGATGACTCGTCGGGTATAGGTCGCGTGTGTTTAGTCAAGGTCGGTATTAAAGGCCGTGGTAGCGAATCACCCCCAAGTCGACCATAATGTTCAGTACCCAGACTGCCTTTAGGGAAGAGGACGCAAGAAAGGAGAAGGCTGGACGGAAATGAGCGGGGACGCAAAGAAATCCCTCCCCCGCCCACCCCACACACACTGTGAGAGTCGCATGTATGACAGGGAACAGACACTCGACACTAGCTCGCCGAGGTCTTTTCCACCCAATCCTTAATCGATCACCTTGGCGAGAATGGAAATATATAATGATTGAGACCACGATGACGTTGTTCTCGGCAGCCAGCTGAGTCCCGTTGTTGCCAGAACCCGTCCCAGCCTGCCAGCCGCCTCAGTGGATGTACACCATCACGGCTAGGGGGTCCTGCCGAGTACAAACGCTACAGAGATAATCAGGTATAAACCCATCACACCTACGGGGCCCTGCCCTTCCAACAGTGCTAATTAATGTGCATGCTCGAGGTGTTTATGGTATCATAAGGCCTGGTGATCTCATATAACCACCAAATGCCCTATGATACCATCAACTTTCTGTATAACAGATAAACCATATATACATACATTTATAACTATGAAAATAGCGTTCTTGTAATTGTGCCCTTTACACACACACACACAATCACACCACCACAACCATCAATTGGTGTGGCAAATTATATGATATAGACATAGATATAGATATTATACATTGTACAAACCTGTGGTGGCTTATACTGTTTATGTTTTATGCCAGTTAATACAAAATACAAATCAGCAGAAAATCAGTGACCACACTCACCTCGGCGCTTGATCCTCTAACCGTCGCATGCACGTTCAGGTACAAACAGTCTTCACTCCACGGTACGTTCACGGTGGCGAACGGCTCAGTAAACCCCAACAGGTACATGCTCTCCTGCGGGCACACCGAACCGAAGCCGGTCGCCTCTCTGACCCCGTCCCAGGGCTCGGGCTCCTCCGGCGGCATGAAGCGCAGCTCTCCCGCCGGCGGCTTGGCGAAGGGTACGCCGAGGAACGCGCGCACCCCCGCGCCGTTGTAGTCGGTAATGTAGCCGGAGATTCGCCCGTACTTTGTGGGGACTTCCGACTCCTGTGCCGCACAGGACGTGGATAAAATCAGGAGGGAAAGTAGGACAATAGGAAGAGGGTCTCCAAGGGGGGGGGGTCCCGACAATGCTCTACGCTGAATTCGGAAACCTCTCGATTACGCTTTACGATAAATTCCAAGTGGCTACAACGCATTGTGTAGAATTTAAAACGCCGTATACGCTCTACGCAAAAATATTAGAGCGGTCCGTCTACGCTCTACGTAGAATTAAAATGGCCGATTACGCTCTACGGAAAAGGGCTTTCTTATGACTGTTTCTCGTGGCTTGATTGTTACAAGTCACGTGACAAGAGAACTCCAAGACGAGATCTTAATCGGGTTGAAGAAGAGTGCGCCTCGAAAGCTCCCCAGAGTATCAAACTTTTGTTACTTACTTGTATATTAAATATTTTGTCAAAAGAATGAACACTAACGTTACTCTTCAGGCTCGAGTTGTACATGTGCTCTCATCTTGTATAAAATATCACGATGAAAGGTGTCAACCTGCACGTGGACTCAACTAACAAATAACCTTCATTATATGTGTTTCAAGTGCTACCAAAATTGTGGGAAATTTCGTCGTGGTGGGACCAAGCTTTCTAAAGGTACAGGCATATAGATGTGTGAAAAACAATATATGGACTACTAATACTTTCTTATAAGCCAATACAGATGAGGTACTACAGTTATACAATCTACTTATCTACAGAGCTACAACTAAACATGTACACATACCTCGGATCCAGGTCTCGAACTGACTAACACAGCGATTGTCACTTCCATGCTCAACTCTGTTCACAATAGTCCTTCACCTGATTGGTTGCTCTCACCAACCAATCAGTGCCTACCTAGCGCGCTAATATATGCATAGCTCTCTATAACAAGTCTTTTCACATGGTCATTTACATATTACCCTGATTACAATATTCATAACCGTTACACTATCCCCCTCCTTCCATCAAGCGTACGTTCCTGTTAGCAAATATTTTCATGTCAATGTCTGTATGCAATTAGCCTTCGGGCAGGAATTTGCAATAAACAACTAATTATAAGACTGGGCCGCACGACCAGCAATTCCCTGGAGGCGGTCAGCCCATCGCGGACGTATACGAGTACGAAAAACCTATCCGTCCGGTCATCTTCTCTGTGATGGCAGCTTGACTCCTGGCTGCAAAATTGGAAACAACATACGATAAACTATAAAATAGTGATCATCAGTGAGTGTGGGTGTTTGGGGGTGCCAAACTTCCACTCAAACCAAACCAATTTCTATTTAGACCAAACAGACCACTGGTCAGACTCAATAAAAGCGCTGACTGTACTCGACAGTGATGAGCACATTTCCTGGTACTCTTCCAGACATTGGACGATGATCAACCAAGAAGTCCAGACAGTGGTGACGTCACTTCCGGGAACATACGGCATTTAAAAGATAGGCGCGACCAAGCTGCACTACAAGCCAGGCTAGACGGAACCATCCACGCACCGCTGTTGTTCCCTGACGATGTTTTCAACGGTCCATGTGCTGCTGCTAGCCTCCGGCTGTGTTCTGGTACACACACAGGTAATTTGGATAGTCTATGGTAATTGTGGAGTACTAAAAGTTTTAAAACATACTGTATTGTAGCTCATTTGCTCTATTGTGTTTACATGTTACGATAAGGGCAGTAACTGAAGCTGTGTAACTTTATTCAGTCACGTCAGATTCTAACAATTTCCAGGTGTTTAGAACAAAAAGCTCATACGAAGAATACGTTAACAGTAAAACCACTAGAAGATATATCGTGTTGAGATGCCGTCACTTAAAAACTCCACTCAGTGAGAATACCTAGGCTTACTTACAGTAATTCTCAATATCTTATCAAGGCAGGATTATTTCGTTCAAACGAAAATATGTTATTTTGAACATTATACCAGCGTCAATGTCATATCTTCAGCAGTTGTACGTGTATTTTGTAACTCTTATTTCATTTACAAAATGTAGAATTTATCAGCTTTCTTGACAAGTGACTTACAGCTCTTGACACCCAGCCGGTCCAAGTCACGCCCTTAAGGCGATTTCTTAAGTACTTCCTTATGACTCCGACCCCGTTATGTCCGAGAATCCCTCGCGCCTTAAGTGATTCAAACTAACTCACTAACCAGACGCAGGTGTTAGCTACAGGTCGTTCAACTCTAGCCTGGAGTCCAGTCCTGTTAGTTTTGGTCCGCTCCCCAAGATCCACTACTGGCTGGGTAGCGGGTCTCGGGGAGCGGACCGAGGCTATAACAAGGCTGGGGTTCCGGGCTAGATCAACTCATTCCATCCCCAGACTTCCTTCTTTCTTCGAACGTGTGATTTGGTGAGACGAGCTGCGCGGTGGCTAAGCCATTTTTATGTTTACGAAAGGAAAACATATTGTTTTTGCTCAGTTTCCTCCTCTTCTTCTTCTCCAAACATTGACCTCTGACCTGACCAATGACATGATTTGTTAACGTCTGTCACCATGATAACTGGTGTTGGGTTACATAATGTTGCAATTTCATGGTCTGCTCTGCACCTGTTACCATGTACTAGTAGTACATGCATATGTATGTGAATGTGCTTGAGTAGGAAACAACAGAGCAGACCATGTCCACGTCCAGGTAAACATTATGCAACTGTTTGCAACTGTTACTTCTCTAGTTACGTTTTAAATCTGTTCAATGCGTATATACGAATGATCTTACCACCAAGACAGAAACATCCTTTTGACGTGTAAAGCTAAGGTCCCAATTGGGAAAAGGGGCCCTGGCGGGTAGTTCCCGGGCTGTTTTTTACCACTTTCGGGCGGGACCCCGACGTGGCCCCGCGGGGCACCCTGCGGCTACCGGGATATTTTTTGGCCCGTCGGGGCCCCGATAAGAATTTAATTCTGGGTTAAATTCTACCCGGGCCCCGCTAACAACAAGACGCCGTGACCTCATCGTGAGAACACCGGGAGGTACCCCTCCGGTTGCCGGCATTCCACCGGGACACATTTCTTACGTCACAGACCAGATGAACAGAATAAAGGTGTGTACTTCGTAAACCCGGGTAAAATGTGTGACCTCACAGATCAAATGATCACAACAAATACGTGAATTCTGCATTACGTATAGGTCAATACAAGACATCGTCAGAGAATCTGCTGGGTACCTGCCGGGTGCCTGCCGGATACCGACCAAAGAGGGTGACAAAATTTCTAACAAAATGCTACTGAAGGAAACTTTTAATTGTGACCACGACAGCCGATGCCCGCTCGACTCCTGAACCCGGCCGGGGCCAGCCGGGGCTACATCCCCGACGGGCACCGGCGTAATTGGGACCTTAGCTTAAGTCGGTTTTATCCGATTCCTTGGAACATTGAATAGAATTTTGTATCTTACACATTTTTCAAACCTTACCTTTTCTTTTCTACAGATAAGCTTGGGGAAGAAACTTGTCACTATGAAAGGTACAGAGATTTTTTTCATTCGAAACTGCATATCCTTTATGTGTATGCCCAATAAGCAAATACTATTTTTATTATTATCCCCCCGGGGAATGAACATGCAATAAAGTTTTATATCTCATTTTGGTATTGATAAAGTTATTTAGTTTACTCTAGTCACTTTGCTCCTCTTTCCCAGATCCTGATGAGAATAAAACAGACGTAGACCTCATCATTACTGGAAATGAAGGTATGTTATAACTTGTATGTCCCCGTTTGTTACAGTGTACATGTCGTTTTAAATAAACTAGTGTTGTAGTTGCATACTGATGGCAAACCCTCCCCCCTCTCTCGCTGCTTTGAGATCGCAATAATTTTCCTTCATCCTACCCTTGATTTCAATATTTCTATTTACCCCTTTAATTCTTCGTGATATTGCTACTTATCATTTGAGACATATATCCGTGCATTTTCGTCATTCGATCTATTGTTTTGAAAATAATGGGATCAAACTTCTTGTATTACATCATTTATACATTGAACATCGTTTTTTTGTAGACGCTGATGAAGATCTTCTGGAAGGAGATATTCTTGACGACACTAAAGTATGATCTTGCTTCTCTCATACATTATGTAAATATCAACAAAACAGGTCAATTACTAAACTTTAAACTTGTTTATTTGATCCTTAGTTGATGCAAGAATAATGAAACGCATCAAAAATCGTTATTGAAAATGAAAACGTATTATATTATCATGAAAGTTCATCTGTGTTGGTAGTTACATGTACATGTTTAAAGTTAAAACTTTTGGTCCAACACAGTCTACTGAGGAAGACCAGAGTGACTGGTCGAAAGCTCTAGGTGAGAGAATTTTTTGTGTTGGACCAAAAGTTTTAACTTTAAACCTCGAATTATATTGGTAAAACATTCTAAAAATACAGAACCCAGTGTAGTAGGACTGTGTAGTAGTGGTATAGGTTGACACACATTTTATACAAAGTTTGACCTTGAGCGTGACGTTGACCTTGTGTTTGTAGAGCCAGTTTAGAACGGCTGTCAGGAGCGAGAGGAAGAAATGGCCGAAAAACGCGGACGGCATCGTCGTCATCCCCTACGTCATCATCAGTCAACAGGAGTTTTGTAAGTAGGACATCAGTACATTTCTAGCGGCAACCGATATATGAACCATTCATCAAGGCCGGGCGATTCCCTAATATTATATAGACATAGGAGTTCAGTATCATGTGTACGATCACACCTGTATTAGTTTGCATAAGGACCACCTGGTCACTTGTTCGTCTTTAGTGCAGGTCCCATAGATCTTTATCATTTACACGAGAATAAAGAATACTATACTGTCTATATTTGCATTTTCGAAGTGAAAGATGTTGAATATTCGGAACAATGTTTGGACAAAAGACGGTGAGGGGAACCATTTTTATATATTTTCTATCATTTTTATGTATTTTCACTACAGGCTAATAACTATTTTTTCGCATTTTGCAGTGGAAAGGCACGTGAACCAGATCGAGGCCGTGATGGAGGAGTTTGCCGCTCGGACCTGCCTGCACTTCGTCCCGAGGACCGACCAAAGGTCTTACCTCCGGATCAAAAGGGCAAGAACGTGCGTGACGTATTGAACTTTTGCACTCACATGACTATGACGTAAACATCACCGCCATGCTGGATGCTTAAACCTAGACGAGTCGCATGTGAATTTGAATTTGCATATACATTTACGTATACTGTGAAAAATGTAAATATATGCAAATTCATAGCTCTGGCTCTTAAACCTTTAACCATCGATCATGGCGGCTATGACGTCATGTGCTACGTGTCATCTCCCAAGTGTATTCACATGTTTTGTAAAGGTCATGACAGGTAATGGCTGGATACGTACGTACGTGTAAAAATCATATTTTACATACGCATGAAGATACGATGAAATATTAAGGGGGAACACCAGAGATTTCTAGACCAAAATATTGCCCAAAAATATTTTCCATCACTTTTCATATTTCTGACTTATATCTTCTGGCAAAATCTTACCACCATCTTGGCTGAAATTTCATGATTGCATCTGGTTTTGTTACAGGTGCTCTACCACCGTCGGCCGCAAGGGGGGCCCGCAGACCGTGAACCTGAACGGCGTGTGTGCGAAGCGGAAAGGACCGATCCAGCACGAGCTGATGCACACCATCGGCTTCCTGCACGAACAGTCACGGGCAGACAGGGACAAGCACATCAAGATCCTCTGGGACAACATCAAGACGGGTGAGGGCGGTGTTGTATTCAGAACAGTGCTTTATCCAGAATCATCAGGCACGGTTCTGGATAGTCCATGCGTGCCTGGAGCAAATTTACGTTGTTTCAGATACACGGAGATTATCCAGAACCGTGCCCGATCATAACCCTGGCTAAACCCATTCAGGCTAGATAGACACAGTTCTCAATACTACTAGTATGCATATAGGCGGGAAGAGAAAGGTATGAATGCATATGGATGGGTGGGTCGATGGGTGGGCGTATGATATGAATGAACTTTAATTTATACCGGATGACCGTTTTCGGTAGTAGCGGATGTGCTAGTTACTCAGAGTTATGTATGCTCTTTTTGTTCAAGTACCATGTTCAGTTATGTAGTCAAGATGAATTGTCATAAAAAATGACAGTACCGTGTCAATTTCTACAAAAGTTGGTACCTTTTCCTAACGATTCTATGACAACTGCTAATGTGGAGACCAAACAGAGAGGAGACCGTTAAAAGACTGTTGGGGCCTTTGGGGAACGTAAGTTGACAAATATTACACAACGGTCATTAAGTGACCACGTAATGATCTCCATAACAGACCGATGCAGACTGCCAGGCAGCCGTGCGTTCTACAATGTATTGAATGGCTATTAATCAGCTGATGTGTCGACGTCTGCTGAAAATAACTATGCTCAAGAAAAAATTGCTTAACATTCTTTAAAACCCCTCTTTAACAGGACGCAAGGCTAACTTCAAGGCCGCCGGGGTTAAAGGTTACACGCTCCTGGGCCTTCCCTACGACACCCGGTCCGTCATGCACTACGGCCCGAAAGCCTTCTCCACCAATCGGAGGCTGCCGACTATGGTGTCCAAGGACCCTACCAAGAGGATCGGGGGGACCAGGGGGTGGACTAACCTGGATGTGCTCAAGGTTAATACGTTGTACAAGTGTGGTGAGTTGTTGATTTGTTTTATCAGGTGATATATGATTGATATGGATAATGACTGACTGACTCCAGTCTTATTTTTAGTTACCTATATTTTGTTGTATTATACAATTTTCATTCATCCTTACCATAAGCACATTTGTGACTTTTTTTTCTGTATTTTTCTGGCCCCATCAGAAATCAGCACTGTGCTGAACTTGCTTGGGCTACATGGGCATTTTTAAGATTAAATCATTATCTATCTATCTATCTATCTATCTATCTATCTATCTATCTATCTATCTATCTATCTATCTATCTATCTATCTATCTATATTCCTCTCCCCCCCTCCTCTCTCTCTATATATATAGAGAGATATATAGATATATAGATACATATAGATATATATATATATATATAGATAAGAAATAGAATAAATGCACAATAAAATATGTTTACTGGATTTGTTCCACTTCATTATCTTGTTCTTCGCCCTTCTGTCTAATGGCCATTGTCATATCATTGTCTATTTTTCTCTCGCTAAGATGCCACAGTGACGGGAAAACCGATCCCGAAGTGGCATCCTCACGGCGATAAACAAGAACAAGCGACACAGGGTACAACAGAGCTGACTCCGACTCATGCCGGCAAACAGACAACAGCCAGAGAGGACGGGTGGCCTACAAATGAAAACCCCAAATCTGTTACCATGCCACCGTCTGACACTATGCCGTCTGTCACCATGCCAACGTCTGACACTATGCCGTCTGTCACCATGCCAACGTCTGACACTATACCAACGTCTGTCACTATGCCAACGTCTGTCACCCTGTCAACCGTACCCTTGGAGATGACAACTGGTGAGACCACGACAGCTACAAGAGTACGCAGAACAAGAGGTATGCCCCTGTGTTCGTTGTCTTACAGTAAGTCTCTGGTCATCACTAAATTCTTTGACAAAACATGTACATTGTCAGTTCTCATTTACATCGACGAATGCCAGGAGAACAGTTAAATAGGATAAACCATGAAGTATTTAAGAGGTCCCTGTTGAACCTCCTTTCATGCAACAACAACCGAGAGTTTCAAAGTACTGACGAAGTTTCATAAAAATGAAACGCCATAATTGATCTCGTCCTCCGGTTACGTTTAGCCAACTATGCGTCAGAAGAACTTCGATGATCTGGTTCAGGCAATAAGTCATGAGTGCTTTTGAGAATATTCAGAATGAGCATGACGAAGAAGACGATTTATGCAGTTTTGTTCTCTGTCTCTAAGTTGTGTGTACATTCGACGAAGACCTGTGCGGCTTCACACAAGGAACCAGAAATGACTTCAATTGGAGCTGGAGTCAGGAGGGTAAGGGAACTCCGTCCAGACGAACAGGACCCAAATCAGACCATACTGGACACGGTGAGCAGGGGTGGGCAGGTACATCGGGGAAATATGACACAAAGATTTTATATTCTATTGGGCCGTCTGCAGTATTGTATGGTACTACAGAAAGGGCTGGAAATTGAATTTGTTATGTGTAAAACTATCTCACTATGCTGTGGCCGGTTTTTATGACCCTGAAGGGTTGGACTACATTATGTAGCAAGTTGTAGAAGAATTTTAGGGGCTGGTCACCATTATGGATGTGTTTTAATGACCGATTGTCAAGATCAACAGCTCAACCGTTAAACTTTATGCGGAATCTTTTTTACAGGCCGCTTTCTTTTCATTGAGGCAACAAAGAAGGCGCCCGGAAAGAAAGCCCGTGGTTTTTCACCTGTGTATAACACCACAGGACCACACTGTCTGACGTTCTACTACAACATGAAGGGTCAGGGGATCGGTTCTCTCAACGTCTATCTACGCATGGTTGGCATGGCAACCGATGACGTCAGAAAGCTTTGGTCTCGATCTGGGCCCCAAGGCAACAGGTGGTCGAAAGCGGAAGTTACATTTAACACGGCTGCGAATTTTCAAGTAAGGCTAATTCTTTCTTGCTTTAGACTTGCATGGAAGGGCATGCCAATATAGTCAAGAACAGTGGTGTTCGAGTCAGTAGAAAATATGAAGATTAATTTTACTCATCCTCAGTCACTGATGAAGGATGCTAGCCTGGGCGCCATCTGATTTGTAACGGCAACCCCGATTTGTAACGGCAACTCGGGTTGCGTTACAAATCGGATGGTAACCAGGCTAGAAAGATGCTGTCAAATATCTAACTTTTCAGCGAGCTTATTCAGCTGCTTGATGTATTTCTTGTATTACATTATGAAAGTGCATCTGTGTTAGTAGAAGAAGGTAGTAGGTAGTAGAAATTCTTATGGACAAATCTTGAACCCAAACTTCAGACACCACAGAATTCGTTCTGAAAAGCAAATGAAATAACTGTAAGTGCTGACGTATCTTTTACTTTGCAGGTGATTTTCGAAGGTGTCCGAGGCACTAGTTCACGAGGGGACATCGCTATAGATGACATGACCCTTGACACAGGGTCATGTGCATAGCAGCCAATCAGCAGCCCTGGTGACAGGTCACATGGGGTCAAGTACGATGTCATTGTTGTTCAAGCTGAAACAGAGCATGTCGGCAGAACGTACTGTGTCTGTGCGAAACCCAGATTTTTCACGGTTTTTGTTGGATGTTTGGTCAAAATTACATTAGAATTTTCCCTGTCGCAGAACACATCTTTCCAACACAACGTTTAAACACTATAGATGGGATGTTAAAAATCAAATATGTGAATATGACCTTAAACGAGATGTTCTGCTGAAGTTATGCACAATAAATTACAGATTTATAATTGCAGGTGAAGTACATTCTGCCAACGTACTGTGAGACAGGCACAAGGAAAGGAGGGGGAGGGTTGGAAAAAAGGACTGGGTAACTAGCTATAGCAAATGTTGATAGAAGTGATACTAGGGTGTATATAAATACTAGACAGTAGTTGAATGAATTGAAAGGGCTTTATTGAATTATGTATAGTATTTGAAAATGATTTGAAGATGTTTGATTGTTAAGATGGCATAAATGCTCTTGAAAAACTTTGGTTCTAAATATAACACAGTGTAAACACACTGTACACAATATACACACCTATAAGGTTTGGTAAAAATACAGGTCACATGAAAAATAAACTATGAAACAAATAGTATTTGTTCTGTCCTTTTATTATGACAGTATGTATACTTTAAGTATTATCCTTTGAGGAAAAGTTAATATACTTTGTTGCAAACAAACAATATACAGACTTTGTATCACCCTAAAAAGATGTATAAGCTGAAATCTGACAAAGAAGTATTTCTGTGACATAACTCAACTTTGAAGCATACAGAATATTCACACTCGTATCTGGTACTTTTCATAAACATTGTCTCAAACCATGTGCCGCCACATTACATCTTCCTTGTTGCTACCTATTTGGATAGAGAACACAATTTTATCCCCAAACTTTGGCACAATTGTACTGTGTCGACTGGATACAGTTGGATATCTATAGTGTCTTACTGGCTGGTTATGATTTTGCTCAACAAATATCTGCTTGGAGATAAACTATTTGCAGGCTGACTAGACAGCACATACTTTTCAAGCTTACTTTAGTTACAGTTTATCATAAAAACATTTACACTCATCTCCTTCCTCTGTCTTGACTCAATCTTGAGTGGATGTGATCATGCCTTCTTGAAGACGAGAAATCATGGCACCAACTTCCACCACCAGGGGAAAGGCACTGAAACAGGAGAAATCATTCAAATAAACATAAAAACTACATGTATATAGTTTAACCTGGGTGGTTAAACATTTACTGAGGTTTCCAATCCAATACTCACATTTACAAAATGAAGGAGTGAATATAGGAGCTGCTGTAATATTAATTTTTAGGTCACAATTACATTGGTGCCAACACAGGGTGTGTAACCTAAGCATAACCTGAATAGGACGGCACTCTGGATATTGTTTTTTTGCCTTTGACAGCTGAAATAGCCCTACATAATAGCCCCTATTTAGCTGGGCAGTCCTGGGTATACCTATTCAAAACTGATCTAAAGAAATAATTTTGCATTTTGTCTGAAAAGATCAACATCAAAGTCAGAGCCCAAGGGCCTTATTGTGCACTTAGGAGTGAACAAAGATTGAGCTTGCCCTCGTACCACGCCACAATGGTGCGTGATGGTGTTCAGCACCAAGGACAGCTTTTGTTTTTCCTGTATGAAGCATTTGCGTGTACACATGAATGTCATTGTGTCACAAGTGTTCCATGCACAACGTTTTTAGAATTAAATGAAAGTAGAGGCACAGGATAGATGAGTTAAATTTGTCTTGTTCGTATTTACTGACGGTTTCCACAAATAGGTACAGCGTATACCGGGCGAATTTTGTCGGTCAAAATGATGTGTGGATGGTTTTTCAGCACCCAGGGCAGGGTTTGTTTTGAGGCGCGCGCACGTATATGTGTTTGTGTGTGTTTATCTATGTTTTGGTGGAGGATATTTTTAAGCATATACCAGAGATAGGTATGTTTCTTTGTGTGTTTATATTTTTAGAACCAGATACAGGAGTGTTGTCTGCGTACCTGCCCGCATGTTTTGACTGATTTCTGTTCAGTCATAAAAGCTCCAAACTCATTGGGCCGATCTACAATAACAAGATGAGTTAACAGTTATGTAGTGTCACTAACATCTAGCATCATAATCGACTGGTGTGTTACGCCAAGGGGCGGTTATACCGGCTATACAGATACATGCACGTGTATATACAGATACGTCATTTCAGCCCTCAGGCTATGAATGTGATGGAGTATTTTTGTAGCTCAAGAAAATACATTTGCCGGCATGTCTTGTTCTCATGCAACCTTAGATCTGTTTTTCTTCCACATAAAAACTTAATTTACCAGCAGCCTCCCATTTACTCCCATTTTGCTTACCTTTAGTAATAAAGTTATCTCTAGATTCTTTCACAGCATTGCTCAAGTCTATTATTACAAGTAGAACTGGTAATCTTCCCATACTGGTTAAATGCTGACAAAGGACTTCAGCTTAAAGCTTATTCAATTGTCTGGTCTAAATTCTTTCGGAAGGAACAAACTGTTAACGGCTTTGGTCCCCAGACTGTGTTTCATCAGTGATTCAAAACATCATTTCTTGTTCAGAACGTAATTCTAAAATAACATTACATGTTATACATCATGGCGTTTTATTTGGTAATCCTGGAAGAGATTTGGCTTCACAATTTCCACCATCGTTAAAATCTCTAACATTCTCATTCAGCACTTTTCTTCAATCGTGATCACATCTCTTAAAACACTTTGAGGTTATGGTAAGGATGTTTTGATCTGAAATATATTGGAATATTGAGTCTTCTTTGTTGTTTGGTTTAAAGCTAAAATGTAATAAAGCAAGTGCGTCAACAGAGAAACAACCTTTGAAATCGAGAGGAAGCATTACAGTTCATTAGTTCACTAATAACGTTTCGAATCCTTCTTCAAAACTTCAATTGCACAAACAACTTCGTGTTACCATGGAGGTACATTTCAGAGACTTAACATGAAGGAGAAAAAAGTCACAACATGTCTGACAACGTCGCCTACACCATGCGCTGTGTGGTTGTCCTTCTAGTCGTGCTAACGAGCGACGGTAAAGAAACCATTTTCACTACTTGGAGGCTTTTTGCGGTTTTGTCTTTGCTGTGAAACATGCGTGCTCCTGGAGTACTTTTATTTCTAAATTATCCTTTAGTCACTCGTGGTAATCATTTCTATTCGATCAGACTTATGCTGTCTGTCCTATCTGTTCCACGCACTGCTATTGTAGTATATCTATGAATATATGCCCCGTTACGGTCTCCAATTGCGTGTTTTGGAAGTAACACACCGTAAATCATGTATGGATACAGATTCATGAAGCTCCCGTTGTTGCTTTTCAACAGGTTGTCAAATAGCAGATTACTAGCAAAAATCACCACGAAGCCAGTAGCCTAATGCAATACCTGCCGAGATTTTTAAGGTAGCTGGGGTTTCCATATATTATATATATATGTATATAGTATTATTTTGGGGGCTAACTTTTCATATTTGGTACCTATCCAGCGTTTACAGCCAATGCTCAATGGCAAGACGTTTTTTCAACTATGAAAGGAACAGGGCAGACTGTTTACGACGCCTGGAGTACTAATGGACAAGTCAGCCACAACAAGTGCCCAGTTGTAGACCAATGGGAATCGCTTAACATCCAACGGGTAAGCTTCTGCTAGACCCGTGTGGTTATTACTGTGTTTAGTTTTGTCACATGTCCATAGTTTTCCGTTATCTACATCATGTGTATCATCACTTACGCGTAACACAACCATTAAAATTAATTAGCATTTTTGACAAACAGAATTGGATTTAAGCAGCTAAATCTGTTCTCAATAAGTAGAACTGCATATAACTCAAGAATGAGGGGCGATTTTTTTAGCGGCACAGGAAGTAAAATTGTCGTCTTTTGCAGGTGAAGGTTGTGTTGGAGACTTCCGAAGGAAACGTAGAGCTGATTTTTAATGGGACAAACACTGACAAGTTCAGCTGGTTCTCCAAGTCTCGTCTGCTCTCATCTCCTTGGAACGACATCAGCACCGAGCCTCAAAACTTCTTCTCGATCGAAGGACTCTCACATGCGAAAAGGTAAATCTTGAGCCTTTGAAATGTGATAAACTTCGTATTAAGGCCTTTCTATCCTTTGCATGGAATTACCCGATTCGTAGTGAATCTTAATGACGTCCATGGAATTAATTGTATCAATTAAAACACAGCTTCCTTTGTTGCAGGTCTTTTTACATCAGTCGCAACCATGGTGGTTGCCCCCAAGACGCTGGTTGGCTTGCGGTGGCCGACGGCGGTCCACTCGGCCATTGTGAATGGGAACGAGCTCCGGAGGATCAGCTGCCTTACATCCGCTTTTCTAAAACTACAGGCTACGCTAACTACAACGGTGCGTGCAGTACTTAAATGTCCCTATATATTTCCCTGGGCAGATGGGCAATGTCTAAGTTGAGTTTTCTTATCTGATAATTGAGTTAGGGTCAGGGCAGCTATAATGAACTGATTCTGTTACGTATATGTGAATAGCTTTGTGAATGCTGATATTGGAGAATCGCTATTTTTCAGGTGTCTATACCTGCTGCTTTGAATAAGTTAAAACAACTTAAGGAGCCTGAGCCAAGATTTCTTGTCTAATTTCTTAAATTGTTCCTTTTTTTTTACTTTATTCAGGAGGTAATATTGCAACGGCCGATCGGATGGTCATCTACATCGACACGCCCGGAAACAACGCGCTGTGCTCCTGCCCTGCTGGACAATCTCTTAGTGAAGATGGCACCCGGTGTGAAGGTCAGTGGTTGTATCATTGAAAATTATTTAGATGTGCGTTATTGATTTAGATTTGCGTCATTATTGTTTATTACACCTTTGATAAATAACGTTACATTTAGTACGAGGGCATGCCCAATTTGCGTTCATATTTGAAATGCAGTCGTATTGATTTTGTGACATAATGTATACAATCCACCCTAAGTGATTTTTGGCATAACTAGATTACAATTATGCAAATCAGGATCTAATTTGCATAATTGATGAGAAAATTCTATAAATCTGTAGTGTTCTGAAATTATTCTAAAGATGTACGTACTTGAGTAGCATGTTTTCGAAAATGTCGCAATTTGCGTGAGGCATTGCAGTTCGTACACGTTACAATTCGTCGCCCAGGTGAATTTTTACACCATTCTTGTTTGATGATGTGTGAATAACGTTAATGTTATGGGGCTTAAAAGAAATATGAAAAAAATACCGCAAGTGCTATTTCTATACACGCCACAACCGTCGACTTTGGGAATTGTCGGAGCACACGAACGTTACATATGCATGTAGCTGGCTTACGTGTTTTACGTCATAATCTTACTCACTAATTCCAGGATCACCTATATAAACGTTTTTTTTTCAATCTTCAACTTCTGATTCAGGCATGTCTTTGTTATATTTCATATTTATGCTGCCGTGATGATGTACAAAAGCGTCCGTATTGACACTGAAACGACATAATCAGTCCCTTCTGCCCTATGCATAACTAATGTGTCGTATTTTAGAACTGCCTCTTGTGACATTCCTATATGGTAATCTTGCCAATATAGCGTATCTTCCTTTAATCTTAGATCTGTTTGTTGTAAGACTTCCACGTAAAACATAATTTACTTCCATTTTGCTTCACTTTGATAATAAAGTTATCTTTTATATTATGGACCAAGTACGTATACAGTTATTACAAATAGAAATTATTCCACTTCAGCAACAACTACAACAGCCACTACTACAACCCCGGCTGTAACAACCACCACGCCTGCTGGTACAACCACCACGCCTGCTGTTACAACCACCACACCTGCTGTTACAAACGCCACGCCTGCTGGTACAACCACCACGCCTGCTGTTACAACCACCACACCTGCTGTTACAACCGCCACGCCTGCTGGTACAACCACCACACCTGCTGGTACAACCACCACATCTGCTGTTACAACCGCCACGCCTGCTGTTACAACAACTACGCCTGCGATCACAACCGTGAGTACGACTAGGTCATCAAATGACGCAAGCATCGTGACCACTACGATGTCACAGCCGGAGGATCCCACCAGTCCTCCCCCGACCGCGTCGCTAACTACCAGCCGGCTGGGGGAGGGAGGATCCGCCGCCGCTAACAAGGGCGGGGCACCGGGAGGGTCAGTAGCAGGTGGCGTGACCGGAGCGATGGTTCTTGTGGGAGCAGGAATAGCCATAGGCGGGTTCCTGTTGTATAGAAAGAAGAAGAAAGTTGCCGTGGAGCCTACACCCTCAGAACGAGCGGAGAGCTCTTGAATGTACAGTCACCAATGTATCACTAAATACCAGTTTTCTGACAGTACAAACACAGTATAGATGATTCCAATTTGTCTCGTTCGTATCTACTAAAGGTTTCTACCCATAGGTGAAGAGTATACCGGACAGTTTCTGTCGGCCACAACGGTGCGTGGATGGTGTTCAGCACCAAGGACAGGTTTTGTTTTTCTTGTATGAGGCACGTGCGCGTATGTCTTTGTGTGTGTTTATCTATGTTTGGGTCTGGGGTGGTGGATATTTTTAAGCCCACTAGTATACCAGAGACAGATCAGTTTCTTTGTGTGTGTTTTTTTTCGGTACCAAATACAGGAGTGTTTGTTAAGTTTGTCTGCGTAAAAACCTGCCCGCATGTTTTGACTGATTTCTGATCAGTCATAAATAAAGCTCCAAACTCATTGTGCCGATCAACAATAACAAGAAGTGTTAACAGTCTATGTATAGTGTTGTACAAATGTTAGTGTCACTAACATCTAGCATCAGCTGGTGTGTTACGCCGAGGGACGGTACATATACACAGATACATCATTTCAGCCCTCGGTCTATGAATGTGGTGGGGTATTTTGCATCTCAATACATTATCAACAAATACTTTTGTCGATATGTCGTGTCCTCATTCAACCTTGGGTCTGCTTTTCTTCCACATAAAAACCAGCAGCCTCCTTTACTAACCTTTAATTTGGTAAAGTTATCTCTAGATTCTTTCATGGCAGGACTCAAGTCTATTATAACAAGTAGAACCAACTGGTAATCTTCCCATGCTGATTAAATGCTAACAAAGGACTTCAGCTTATTCAATATAGCTGGTCTAAATTCTTTCAGACGTGGAACAACGGTTAACTTATAGCGGCTGTCGTCCTCAGAATGTCTTTGATCAATGTTTCAAAACATCATTTCTTGTTGAGAACGTAATTTCAAAATAACATTACATGTTATACATCACGACGTTTTATTTGGTAAGCCAGGACGAGATCTGGTTTCAACAACGCAAATCACCGTTAAGATTTCTGACATTCTAATCAAGATTACCTTCTTCAACCGTGATCACATCTCTTAAGGTCTACTATGAGGTCATGATAAGGATATTTTGATCTGAATAATAATGGGACACTAGTATTAAGTCTTCTTCGTTGTTTATTTTAAAGCTAAAATGCAATAACGCAAGTGCGTCAGGAGAGAAAATTTGACATCCAGAGGATGCATTAAATGTCCAAGTTCACTAATGACGTTTAGATTCTTTCTTCAAGACAGAAATTGAATCAAATAGAACAAACAACATCAACTTCGTGTTACCATGGAGGTACATTTCAGAGACTTAACATGAGGGAGAGAAAAGTCACAACATGTCTGACAACGTCGCCTACACCATGCGCTGTCTGGTTGGTCTTCTAGTAGTGCTGACGACCGCCGGTAATGCTACGGTCACAACCCGCCGTACGTGCTACTGCGTGCTGTCTACGTGCAAAAAACGTGGGCAAACGTAGGGCATCCGTGCGTGGTGAGTACCGCCTCCGTACGGAATCCTACAGATTTGGGAGCACGCAGACACACAGATACGCCGTAGAACTACGTGCGGTCTGCGGATTCACCACCCGTGCGTGCGAGTACGAGCGACGCGCGTGCCCCGTACGTGCCTTGCGGAAGAAGCACGTGTGAGTGCGGCCTCCTTGCGGTAAAGTTGCAATCGCACAGAGATCGTACGTTGTTAGCACATGCAACTCACTTACCACTTGCGCAACGTACGATGCACGCAACCGCTCAAGGCCAGATGTGGCGTGCAGACCACACTCTTACACCTTGCGCAACCGTGCGAGTGACGTGCGTAGACGCCACTCCTTCCCCACGTTTTCAGAAAAACGTAGCAGACGTAGCCTTCCAAAAAACGTACGGACAAAAAGCACGCACGGTGGGTTGTGACCGAAGCATAAGGGTGACATTTTCGCTCCTTGGAGACCTTTTGCAGTTTTGTATTTCTAAAGAAACACATTACTCGACATGATAACTACAACTTACATTATCTTAAGTTTTAAACCTCGAAATGTCTAAATACGTGACTTTTGTTTCGACACAGCTGATTTTCGTGATTCTTCTTGATTCTTGAAATGGAAATTGTCATCTATGTCAGAATGCAAGCAAAATTATAGCATTATGCGATATAATAAATGTGTGTGTGTAAAACTTTGGGCCTGGTGTTTTGCTTGTAATGTTATAAATCCTTACATTCCACTAGGTACTGCCTAATGCCATGTTGATTTGATTATATGGATGACATCTTCTAGGAACCCCAAAGCTGATACGAGCGTGCGAATAAAAAAATTTGGGAAGAAAAGAAGTTGCCTTCATTAAGCAATCTAGGTCGTCATGAAGGTTGAATAAATGACATATTTTAATGGCATGGTGAACACTAGAATCTTCATTTTCAGTTCTTCACATTTTCTTCATGTCCTTTGGAAAGGAGTTTGGACATAAGTATCGTTTTCCGATGTTCTTTTCTTCAAATTACGGCATATGCTTGCTAAATTTGGCACACACTTTGTACGATTTACAGTATGGTCCAAAAAAATTTTTTTGGAGACGGCCGAAAATTCATGCGCGCGCGGATGTCATCCGTATAATCAAATCAACATGGCCTAAATTGCACATAGTGAATAGCACTGAGATGAACAGCTAGATCATTTTCATTGCATATTCTTGCCCCAAAGGGCTAAATACAAAAGTGACCACAATGATGTAAAATGCTAATATCTAAAATAAATTACAACACTATATTATTGTACATCTATATACCTTCTATCTTTTTAAAATCCGTGGAAACAAAACTACGAACTTTGGCAATTATATGACAAATTTTTCACGACATATTGGAATTGAATATCTCCGACATTTTACGTCTCTTATATGTATAATTGAATTTCCTTACCGTAAACAGTTATTCATGCTATTGTTCATACTGAGTACAGATCAAAATATATCGGGTCACTTACTAACACTATGATTTGAGAATCTGAACCACAGGCCGCCAGTGTTTATATGGTTGTCAAATATTATGTATGGATATAAGTTATTTTTATATAAATTATTGTTAAAACATTTGTATTGCCAAATAATTACCTGACAAAATTATTTACAGAGGTCACATTACCGTACTTTGGACTCAGAGACGGGATTTGATAGTCTTCTCCTGCAGAAGTTGCTTCACCATGAGCGCGACCTCTTTAGCACATCCGTGGGACCAGGTGATGCCATTGGCCCCATGGCCGTAATTGTGGATAACCTAAAATTATGGGAAAATATTCGATAAGATCTAAATCAAGATTTTACATCAGCATGAGATATTATGCAGCAAGTTTAAACTTTAATTTCCAACACAAGAAATTGGACTCACCCAAATTTCCGCTTGTACAGCTCTAGTCTTTTATCAAGGAATGTACAGTCAAAAATTTGGGTGAGTCCAATTTCTTGTTTTGGAAATTACAGTTTAAACTTGCTGCATAATGACTTCCACCAACACAGATGAACTTTCAAGATAGCATGAGATATTGAGGTTTTCTAGACCCTGCACAATTCATGGCTGCTGCAGTACGTAGATATTGTGTTTTCTGCCGAACACTCAGGACTTATCGAAATGGTAAGCAAATAGAAATGAAAACTAGAATTCCGAGATTTCATACCTCCATGAAATATGATCTTGATATGTAAATGTAAATTTCTTCTTTAATTGTTCAAATGACCTCTGCATTAACATGATATATGCATCGTGATTAATTTACAGATGTCCCAAGTATGACATTCTCATCATTCACCATTACGAAATCATAGAATTTTCACATTAATTATGCAAATTAGGTCATCATTTGCATAATTAGTATCTGTTGAAGTTCCGCCTGCCATAGGTTACATAGTATAATGTAAAACACTGTAATTATAGAATTTCCTCATTAATTATGCAAATAAAGTCCTCATTTGCATAATTTACATTTAATTATGTACATCTCTCTCTCAGCTACCTACACACCAAAAATAATGAAAATATGTTGTTCCTGTCTGGACTTATTGGCTTTTAAACATTTCACCAGAAAGTGCCCTGCAGTTCCAGAACAAGCCGCTAGGGGGCCCAAACTCATATGACTTCTTCCCAAGCACGCGATCTACCTTCCATCAAAATTTCATGACCCTAGCATGTCCAGATCGTGAGATATCAAAACCGGAAGTTGCGCTGCAGTACCAAGGGAAGCCACTAGGGGGACCAAAATCTCATCATTTCCAGTTTTCGTCACACCCTACCAACCCACCAAGTATGAAACCCATCCATCCAGGCGTTCTTGAGTTATCTTGTTGACCAACAGACAGACGGACGGACGGACGGACGGACGGACGGACAGATAAACGCAACTGAAAATATAACCTCCATGACACATTTCATGGAGGTAAATATAACCTCCATGACACATTTCATGGAGGTAATAAAGCACGTGTACTTCCAGTGCCACATGCTAAAGTGCTTGCACAATTTTAAAACCTTTGAAATCTTTATTGCGAATACCACATTGCAGACTTAGAGTCTGAATTGCGTAGATATTTACAGTCAATGTGATTTTACGTACTACTAGTTAGTCATTCTTGAAACAAACGGAACATCGATATCTATTAATAAAAAAAATTACATACATGTGACCCATTAGGACTATAGAAAGGTGTGTGAAGATTTAACTTGATCCGTACAAACCTGAACAGTTCTCCCTGATACCGGATCCGTTTTCTCCTGTCTCTCCAGTCTGATTTCCTCCCTCATCGGCCTCAGACCAGTCCTCTCTTCTATCACTTCTGCATCCTGTATTAGATTTACGTATATTTATGCAAGCTTCGTCAATACTTAAGTTAATGAAAGTTTATTACAAATACATGCCCGAGGGCTAATTGCAGATACAAACAACATAAGAAAGAAAATACAGTGGTATGTGAGACTATATCTACATCCGTAACCATTATATCATTCTACAACATACATGGTACTAGCTATAGTTTTACTGGGTTTGACTTCTTCCTTTTAGGCAATCGAAGACGAATTAAACTTCTTCTATAATATGTGGGTTCTTTGATTTTAGTAGTAAAACTGATTTTTTTTTCGTGGCAGGGAATGGTCGGGAAGTAAGGGAAGTTAAGTACACCAGAGGTTTCACCGTGTTTAAAACTGAAATTGTCCATTCGCTATCTTGTTGGTATTTCCTACCTTGAGTGCGGGGAATGCAGTCGCAACGCCGTCCCAAATCGTTTTGGTGTCACGTGGGTCATTACGTAAGTCCCACCGTCCTTCCTGTCGGATTCCACCAATCAGGGTAGCGGTAGATCTGTGACGTAATAACGTTAGTTAAAACAGGATTTAACCAACATGATATGACAAATTTCAACCAATAGTTAATTGCTACCGTTAGGCAGTTGTCTAGTGTGCTTGACTTACCTAGCCTCCTATGAATGAATGAATGAATGAATGAATGAATGACTGGTTTATTTGATCAACATGATCCTTAAAAAAGCCTGGTGAAGTGGCTGAATTGCATAGTGATATACTTTCCACATCAATAGATAAGGCTGTTTACAAATTGACATTTGGTACAAATATTAATATTTACAACGTAATGATGTTCTAAATGTTATAAGTTACTGTTCGTTTAGTACTTTTATCATGTATGGAATAGGAATTTTCTTGTATCTGTTTGAATGCTCTGAATGAGGACAGAAGGTGTTTATTTCGTGCTTCGGGAAGGGAGGCTGTATACGGGGAGGGCCCCGGGGAAAGGGCTATATCAAGCGGCTCGATACAGCTCTCGCCCCGATCCCCTGATACAGCCCTTCCCTCGAAAAGAAACTGCTGTGCCCTACCCGTGCCCGTATAAATAACGCTGGCCACCAGAAAGTCTGTGCACGAGGCTAGTACACCTACCCGCCAACGACATACGGAATCCCCGGGACGTAGGGATGTTTTCCCTCCAGGGGCATCCAATGTTTCACCCACGGAGCCTTCACCAGTAAGTAAAAAAATTTTTGATTTGATTTGATTAATTAGGCTGTATAAAATATATGTGTCGGTTACACTTCAGATAAATATACTATTACATAGTAGATGTTGCGGTCTAACGTTAACAGGCTATGAAATCTGGCCTTGATGTCATGCATTTACTATATTTACATTGTTAATACAATTCTATTGAACTCGTACAGTTTTACTAAGCTGTCATCGAATATTTATCAAGTATTGTCCAGAGTTTGTTTTTAAAGGAGCTGACACAAAATAAGTTCTTTTAATGTAGAGAAATTAGACAAACATCTGTTGTTAACGAAAATGGAACGATTTTGTAATTTTCTTTTCCTTTTTTGCTAGAATTTCTTATGACGAAAAAGTTGCTTTGCCGATATATGTATTTTCTCCTACCCGGATAACTTGCCCCCTTGCAGGGAAGACTTTGGTATCGCCCGCCAGGTCGTGCGCTCCAACGCCTGTACAGTTGATGATGACGTCATAGTCCAAAGACAACTTGAGCCGAAAATAAGTTATAGCGTTAGTAGTAGTAGTATGTTAAACGTCGCCATTGACTACATGATATTATATATATATATATATAAAGGACTACACTAAGCCATTAACTATGTGGTATTTAAAAATACTGAATATTGCATGGTAATCACTCATCTTATGTCATCCTTACATGCCTTAATTGAAACATGTATCCACTATAAATGCTAGTATTATGCGCACTGTCCATACTGTATACATACCGTACAGACATACCTCATCTAATGACGGGACTTTTCGCTCTACAAACTTGACCGCTTTGTTCTTCAACCTTCAAATAAGGAGCATTAAAATATTACAAATTACAAGTACAGCAAATTGAACATAAAAACGTACAGCTGATGAATGGTGTGGCAATAAACTATCTAAAGAAATGACACACTCTATGCTTTTGCACTAGAGGTGGGATGGGTTAATTTCGAAGACTCCGTTTTGTATGGGGTGTTTATGGAACAGTCCATTTATGCATGGGGTAAGGGGGAAAATGCAGAAAAAATTATTTTGAAGTAAGGTGATGATGGTATAGTCCATTTAGACGAAAAATAGCTTTAGGACTGTCTTTTTGTGCATCATGTCAATATGGATCAGTCTATTCTTGCATGGAGAGAGAGATGGAGTAACATGCTGTATTTGCCCGCAAATGTCGGCCTGTCTAGTTACAAACCTGTTGGTGACCCAAGGGAGGAAAAGCCTACTCTCCAACATAAAGGTCGTGCAGAAGAATCCATCCCTATAAATATCAAGAAAAAACTGTATTATTGCTTATAGCACGAGTGATACACGGGTACAGCTAACGACGCACACACACACAAACACATCATAGTCAGCCATTCGAAACAATACTTCCGTCCCATGACGAAATTACTGAAAAAACAAAACACGTAAAACTGCTGTGATGACGTACTTGTACTCCGGAAACAGATGAGTTAACTCCCATTTGGTTGGATGACGGTATCCTTGCACGAGGTCTTTCCAATCAGGATCCTACATTTAAGATAACAAGGTAACAAACGTTAGCGCCCATATTCCCTTTTGCGATTTCTATATAGCACTTTCTTGATATAGAAGGCAAATTTGCTTCTACTGGACATGGAAAAAGACAAAGAATATGAGGTCCACCAAAACTGGAAGAGCGGCCGACAGGGATATGTATGTAGTCTAAACAAAGGTTATTTATTCATTTATTCATCGGAAATTTCGTATCAAATCAAAATCAAATCAAATTTTTATTCGGTAAGGCTCTCGCGGGCAAATACCCGAATTTCGTCCTTATTACATGGTGCATAGACATATTGTAAAAACAATGATTTGTGACACTCTTCATTGTACACATGAAACATCACAGGCAAACACACTATCAAGACATATTCGAAGACGATTACACAATTAAAATCTGTACACAATATGCAGTTATTAGTTAGGATTTAGCTGGATACTATAACACTACTGCTGAATTGTCTTGTTATAGAGGCGAACAGCGCAATGAAGAAACGAATTGCTAAGTCTCTTAGTCCAGGCTTTGAAGAAGATTCCATACCCACCTGGAAATCAGTGTGCATCCATGCAATCCACCCTGACTGAAGGAACACCCCTATCTCATGCGCATACGGGGTCTTCAACAGAACGGTTAAGTACTCATGGGACCACTTCAACCACTGCCTACAGAAGAAAGAAAATATGATGCGAAGAACATTAACGTTTGATCTACATTGTAAACTTTATTCCAGTCAAAGAAGTACTCTGTTATCATCTCTCTCCAACATAGTAGAGCTACAGCATCTCAATGACAGTTCCCTATGTTCCTTACTACTTTGAGGGTCCACATCAATCTCACACCTACAAAACTGTAATGTTTTTGATGTAGTTCAAAACTTCACTATACGGGTAGATTCTCGTAATTGATACATCACCAACTGGTCTTGTTGGTATTTATCTTGGTTTTATTCACCTTGTAATTATGCATGTATCTCGTCAATGTGTTTTGTACTCGTTGTATATTTTTTAGTAGAAGGTTTTACATAAGCAACTTTTGCTTTTTGCCCAATACTCAATAAATATATGTGAATAAATCAAAAACGTTAGGTCTTACAGATTTGTTTAGATAACACACAGCAAGGTATGAAATATGATACATGATTTGATGTTTGTTAGAAAAACTATTAAGTTAACCGCACAGATAAGATGACAGCTACTTCATAGATGTTGTCAGTTTGCTGCTCTGTAATCGTTTGTTTCTAAAATCCCAGAATTTAAATGTTTCACAACCCAAAATATTCTCCAGTAGACGTTAGGCCATGTTGATTTGATTATATGGATGACACGTATGAATTTTCGGCCGTTCCCACAAAAAGTGTTCAACCATACTGTAAATCGTACAAAAGAGTTGCAAAATGAGCAAATATATATACCGTAAGTTAAAAAAACATTGGAAAACGATACCAATGTTGCAGAATGCCAAAATCAAACGAAAAAGACGAAAATGTAAATCGCCAAACCATACTCTGTGTCATTTGTTCAACCTTCAAAGCCACGTAGATTTCATAATGAAAGCAACTTTTTTCTTTGAGGGGGGGTATTTTTTTTTATTCGCACGCTCGCATCAGTTTTGGGGTTCCCAGAGGGTCATCCATATAATCAATGTTAGTACAAGGAGTTTTTGTTTTATAATAAAGTTTTGGAATCAATTATTTTTTATTCATGAGTAGAAAGATAAGTCTTTAATCTTAGAATTCGTTGCTTAAACTACACACATATCGTTTTTTTTTACATTTCTCTTTGTGTCATTTTCCTTCTCGGCGGGCACCAAATCCCGGCAGCGACGTCACTGGTGGTGTTCGGGGAGAACTTGTCCGCCATGACAGTCAGGTCCAACTCTGCCGTCCCACAATCCTCCACGATACGTAGGGCAGATGTCAATCCCACAATTCCCGCACCTTCATAGCTTCTCTAAAAAGGTCCCTGAAAGGAAGACTTAGTAGAAATAAAGAATGCAATGTTAATTTTTAGCTAAGTTTAGGTTAGTTTAAGAATATAAACTTTAGAGAGCGTCCGGAGTATTGCTAGGGGGTGTGGATCAGGACATAATATTGTAAGTGGGCTAACCAATTTTGTGTACATACAGCTTATTTATCTATTTGCTTATTATATTTCAGTCCATACCATGGTATGGATGAAATATATTGTGTTCTCTGATGTTTCTTCTCCTTCTTCTCCTTCTTCTCCTCCTCCTCCTGCCAAACAGTCAAAGGGATTCAACTCCGCCATCATTCAGCCAAATGACTTGACATTTGGCATGGAGGTAGAGTGGGCCAATACCCCCAGGCGTTTTTAATTTTT